GATAGATAGATAGATAGATAGATAGATAGATAGATAGATAGATAGATAGATAGATAGATAGATAGATAGATAGATAGATAGATAGATAGATAGATAGATAGACACCCTTCTTTATTTACCTGTCTCCCCTTTCTGTCTCCACCTGCAGACACTATTGTGTGAACATCCCAGAGTCTCTGCCTAAGCTGCTTCTTTCTGTCAAATGGAACTCCAGAGACGAAGTTTCACAGGTAAAAACTCTCACCTAAACTAAACATTGTAATTTAATAAAACGGAATCGTAATCTAATCCATTCCAGTTCATTAACCTCCACATGAGTCCAAATCCTACAGAACCAATTGGAAAACCTCCATAGTTAATAATCTCAGCAAATCACAGTGAATCTTCACTTTGATCCCCCTTCAAAAGCGACTGCAGGCGGGAAACCCTCTTTAACATCTGGTTCAGGTTAGGGGATAGGGTTAGAGAGGGCCCTCAGCCCTGAAGGGTTAGGGTTAGGACTCAGCCCTGAAGGGTTAGGGTTAGAGAGGGGCCTCAGCCCTGAAGGGTTAGGGTTAGGACTCAGCCCTGAAGGGTTAAGGTGAGAGAGGGTCCTCAGCCCTGAAGGGTTAGGGTTAGGGCTCAGCCCTGAAGGGTTAGGGTTAGAGAGGGGCCTCAGCCCTGAAGGGTTAGGGTTAGGGCTCAGCCCTGAAGGGTTAGGGTTAGGGTTATGTCGTGAAATATCCTTTCAACGACTTGTCGAATTATTCTAAGTCTTGCAAAAATACTAAGTTCTTGAAGTCCAAAGTTGAAGAATTATCCTAAATCCAGAAGGAGAAAAATCTTAAGTCCACAAGGAGAAAAATCCTAAGTCCAAAAGAACAAGCAGAGGCCGCTGGGTCCGGGTCCAAAGTGGTTTATTGCAGCAGATACAATCCACCACATGAGCTGTTAGCCGGCTAACAACTGACTTTCTTAGGACGAACATCTGCTTATAAACCTTTCGATTCTTGGGGCTCCACCCTTATTAGGGTGAGAGAGGGCCTCAGCCCTGCCTCCCGTTCTGCCTTAAAAACCCAGGAACCAGAACCAGAACCAGAACCTGAACCAGAACCAGAACCAGAACCTGACCCTGACCCTGAGAGCGCAGAGCTCTGGCGGAGGCCTCCAGCTGGAGGGAGCTGCTCCCCAGAGCAGGAGCTCAGCTTCAGATCTGGGTCTGACAGGAGGAGATAGAACTGGAGGAACTGTGGTTGCTGTATGGATCAACGGGACGCTTCCACAGAGTTTCTGGGTCAGAACAATGATAAAGAACCACAGCAGAGAAAATGTGGGAACAGCTTTTCTGCTCCTTCTGACAGGAAGCTCCTCATTGTGGAGACTGTATTAGCTCAGAGAGAGAAACGGTCTGAATACCACTCAGGTTGTACAGATCCTTCTAAAGAATGAAGATCAGAAGTTTGGTTCATGTGTGTAGGGCCGTGTCCGTCCTGTAAAGTGTACCCCGTCCCACTAGTGGAAACGGATAACCCTTCCCCCCTGGGACCCAGCCCTCCAGGCAGCGGCTGATTCTTACTGGCCTGTCGCCCGCAGATGTACTGCCTGCTGAAAGAGTGGCCTCTGATGGAGCCAGAGTCTGCTCTGGAGCTGCTGGACTGTAACTTTCCTGATCTGGTGGTCCGGGAGTTTGCTCTGCGCTGCCTGGTTCAGGGGCTGACGGACGACAAGCTGTCCCAGTACCTGCTCCAGCTCGTCCAGGTGCGTTCAGAGCTGCCCTAACCCTAACCCTAACCCTAACCCTGCCCACAGCTGGGCCAGCGGGTCAGCACTAATGTCTGGACTCATCTGTGCCAACAGGTACTGAAGTATGAAATGTATCTGGATAATCCTCTGGCCCGATTCTTAATAAAGAAGGCCCTGACCAATCAGAGGATAGGACACTTCTTCTTCTGGCACCTGAAGTCAGTGGGATCTACCTTCTTATTTGACTTGCTTCTGAATCTGGGTGATTGTGTCTGACGAAGAACAAATGTTTCCACAGGTCAGAGATGCACAACAAGACGGTTTCCAGAAGGTTCGGTTTGTTGCTGGAGGCTTTCTGCAGAGCCTGCGGCATGTACCTGAAGCACCTGAACCGGCAGGCGAGTGGGGTTAGGGGCTCAGGGGGTTAGGGGG